CTTTTGGTTCTGAACCGCTCAGACAGTCACCGGACCTGCGAAGAGCGTGACAAGCAGTACTATTGCGATTTCCGAAAGTGCAGTGCTCTTTTCTAGCGCTCCTCTACGACAAACTAAATGAGCACCCATCATTGTCAATGTGTGAACATATAGTTTTTGACCCGAGGAACACGAAAAAAAATATTTCATCAAAATCCAAAAAGTCGAAATTTGAAATTTTGAACGTTTAAATGTTCAAATTTGAACATTTTTAACAAAAATTGTCCAAATTTAAAAAACATTACGATTTTTAAAATCCTCATTCTCTGCTGAATAATTTAAAAAAAAAGTTTTTTAAATTATGTTGAAAATTACCGGACTTATACGCATTTGAAAAAAGGTCTGCATCAAAAACCGCCAAAACATGAAAAAATCGCCAAAAATCAAAAAATCAAAATTTTCGAAAACGGTCTTAGGGCAGTGTCAGGGACCCCTTTCCGCATGTTTTGGCCAATTTTTTCCGAATTCCGAAAACCACTCGTCCGCGACCCTGTCGAGTTGACATGGAATGACCCATCACTCTAATGTTTCCAGCTCGTCGCAAGGGTAAGCTGACGTGGTTGCTCATATCTATATGTCTATTTCATAACCGACACTTTTCCCGTTTTCGGCCTCATACGGCGTAGCTGCGGGGTAGGTGGGTGGGGGGTATTTGCCCCTCCCCCCCTACCTCTTCGTGCCTCCGAGTTTGGGCCCCTGCGGCAGGGCGCGGTCCGATGCGGCCCCTCAGGGCTGCAGGTAGTGCCCCCCGGGGGCCCTTTCCAGCCCGCTCCCCTTTCGTCGGCCTCCCCTGCCCTTTCACTACGGCACTTGGCACGCGGAGGCGACGGGGCGGAGATGGCCGCCCTCTGTGATTGAAAAACAAGTCCCGGCAAATAAAAGAGCCGGACAGTCCGGGGCAGGACGGGGTGGGGCTGGCAGTGAAGGAGGGGAAATAGTAGTGGAGCGCTTTACGAGTTCCTCTGGAGCGGAGCGAGGCAAGGGGGATCCTGGCGAAGGGGACCTGGGAGGAAAAAAAAACAGGCAAGAGAGGAAGAGGGAAAGAGAGCGGGAGAGAGAGAAAGAGAGAGGGCGGAGCGTGCGCCTTGAAGCGAGAAGGAAGGGGGCGACGCCCTGTGCCCCACCCCAACGCGGTAGGGGCGCCCGCCCCGGCGCCCGCCCAGGGCGTGGAGGAGGAGGTGGACGAGCGGCCCCGCCATTGCAATTTCAGCTGAGGCCGCCTTGATTGCGCGCGAGGCCGCTGACAAAGAATTCGACGAGTTCTCTCAAAGGGGAGCGGGCCAGCGGACCGACTCTGTCGTGCGTCTGGCGTCGCCCGACCCTGGTATTTGCCACGGAATTCCCTTATTGTTGGGAATTTTACGAACCACTTTTTGCACGAAATGTACTCGTATTCCCGAGGTTGTTTTTCGGGGGGTGTAGGAGTGACATTTTAGTTATGGAAATACGTGGCTGATTAACTCCGCTCACTTCTAGTTGTGATGTAGCGCTTGCCTATCGCCGCTGTCCACGGCACCCGCCTGCCCGCACTCGTGCGTGCGGTACAGCATAACTATAACATATTATACAGAAGTGAGCGAGGTTAAACAGCCACCTGGTACATTTGATTTGATGTACATATTTTGAAGAGAAAAATAAAAGGCAAACATTTAAAATATAAGTGTTTCAAAATAAACATAATTTTCCATACTTTTCTATCCTTTTTGTTTGGGCTACTGCAGAAGAGTCTAAAGAGTATAAAATTTCGCCCATTGTTAGATAGACATTTGTATTTTTATCAAATTCACTTTTGTTTTTTACTATTTTTAGATTGTAAGTGCTGATGAAGGATCCTGGGAAATGATTTTATGTGTGATCTGTTTTGCCGCAGGTGTGGTTTCAAAATCGGAGAGCCAAATGGAAGAAGCGGAAGAAGAGCAACGTGTTCTCACGCGCCGGGGGCGGACTTCTGCCATCGCACAGCTTGCCGCACTTCGGAGCCATGTCCGACTCGCTCTGTCCCACCAGCATGTTCGGCTCACCCGAGTCGCGCTGGCCCGCTGTCTCGAGCATGACCTCAGGTGAGGAGCGTGAGAGTGTGGGTGGGAGTGCGAGAGAGTAAGAGGAAGAGCAAGAGATAGCGGGAGCGGGAGCAGAAAAGAAAACGGCAGAGTATACATACCATGCGGCTGTGGCGTATTGGACAGCCTTTAGCGCCCAGTACGGTTTACGACTGGCGCGTACTGCTGGAATGATCCGGCTTCTGTAACACAGGGGACTCCCGCACGCACACAATGTGTGTTGAGATTGTGATGTGTCATAGTTCAACGTACAAATGAGACATTTTAGTTTAACACCCACGGACTGACTTCAAAAAATTCTGCAAATCGTGCAAATCAAAGTGTACAAAATGTCAGTTTTACCTGCAAGACTGAGTTCCACAGTTTTTACTGAAATTTTCTGACCATGAACAAAAGTAGAATTTTTGAGAACACATTTTAATCGTCTTAAAATATCTCTATCAGCAATCAATCTAGCATACATGTGACACGTTAAGGAATGAACTCATGGAAAATCATTCCAGTAACCGTTCTTGTTTCGTTCATGGTTAGGAAATTGCAGTGTGTAACTCTTCAGCCTTGCAGTACAAAATGGCATATTGTACTTATAGTTTGGTTTGCTGAGAAACCAACAATGATTCCACTCGAAATATAAATGATTTCTGTAATTTATACGTTTCGAGTAATCAGTAACTATCCTTGTTCTTTCGCGCGCGCGCGTGTGTGTGTGTGTGTGTGTGTGTGTGTGTGTGTGGTGCACTGAATGGCGCGGGGAGGCAGGAGCTTTCGCACCTACCCTCTAATGCCCCGGTGGTCGCTTCCCCCCTCTCCCCACCCCCTACCTGGACACCACTCGCACGCTCAATGATTCACCGGGCTGGCTACCGCACACCACATAGACATGCGTGGACGCACCCACACCACACGTTTGGATTGAACAGGGGCGCACCCGGGGCCTCTGCGTTTTCCACAAAGGGAAGATATTGGTGGTTACAAACCCTGATTGCTCATCTTTATCGTTCTCTGTTGCTTGCAGGCATGTCGCAGCTGCAGCTGAGCCAGAGCGGTGTGCCCATGAGTGGCTTCGGTCAGTCGCTGGGCCAGCTCAACCAAGGCGGCTCCCTGAGCGGGGGGCTCAACGCCGGCCTCAACATAGCTACCTCTATGGCATCGAACGGCTCCACCGTCTACCAGGCGCACTACGGCATCAATACGCTTGGTGAGGGAGGACACATCATCACTCGGGAACATAGCGTATACGGGTTATTGTGTTGTATTTCACAGCCTTTTCGGTTACTATGCGATTATTGCGGTTCATATTGTGTTTTTAAAATGGTATTTCGCAGTATTTCGAGGTGTGCCACTGTTATTCAGATTCTGTGACGTCACATTTTATTTAATGTGAATTGTGTCACATTATTTAGAATATCATGTCACATTCTTTGGAACGTGACATACATTTTGCGCCGCTCTGCCCTCAAGAGCTCAGTGCATAAGAGGCGTACCTATGTCACGTGAAAACGAATGTGACATGATATTCTAAAAAATGTGACACAATTAACATTTCATAGAATGTGACGTCACAGTATTTTAATAACAGTGTGTTGCGACTGTTTCACCTCCTATTTCGAGTCTTTGTTTACATTATTTCGCAGACTGGTGTACGACCGATGGCAAGTGATTATCTCCCGGTCAGCCTCCCAAATGGTCGTTAAAAATTCATGGCCCCTGCAAAACAACATATTTTCCCTTTTCGCTAAAAATCAAAGCAGTCAAAAAGCTCTGGAACCCTGGTTGTACTCTTGGAAATGTGTTCCTACATGCCCTTTGATTAATTTTTTTCCATGCTGAATACTAAGGTAGTTTTTTTTGAGCTGTACGAGACGCACTTTGACCCCTTGCTGCGCGCCGGTACGCAATGCTGTTTGCTTTGCTCGCGTCACGTGGTCGCGAGGTGTTGTTTATGCACGCCGACGAGACGCTGGAATTTATTTTATCCCATCGTACCGATTTGCCAATCGCATATTTTTCATTTCCTTCAACGACGTGTCGGATAGGGGTTTTAATTTCCCGGTGTCTTTTGGGGAACCTCTTAAAGAATCATTTTTCTTTTAAATATCTCAGCAGTTTTTCCTGGGGAGTTAAATATTTTTACAAGTTTTCGGGAAATATTTCGATTTCATCAATTTCTTCCCGGCAATTTTTTTGACTTTTTTTTCGAAAAAAAATAATTCAATTTTAAAATTGCTATATCTGGCTGTTACCGCCGTCGGCAATGACGGACTCTCAAAGCAATAATACACGAAGCAATTCTTTTCAACCCCTTTGGCTCCGCTCTAACCGAGTCCCACGAGTGAGCTGGCGCGCACACACAACACCTCGGCCTGTTTCTTCGAAAGAGACGGATGCGGGGCCGCGGCGGTAGTTGAACCATAAGTCCCATAGAGCTGTGAAAAGCGGGCGGGCGCTCGGGTCGGGCCTGTCGGGCTCCCAGGTCGCGCTTCCTTGCGACATGGGCGGCGCCGGTGCGCGCCCTGGTGGCCGTCCTGGGAACTCCCGGCGCTCAATACTCCTCGGCCACGCGGCCCGGCTCCCGGCTAGAGCCACGGCGGGGGTGGCGGGGCGGGTCCTGCCGGCTGACCATTAATTTCAATCAAGGGCTTGTGTCAATGCCGCCTCTCACCGCTTTCTCCTTGGCCAATTAAAACGCACACGCCTCTGTCTCTTTTAATTTTTTTTTCCGCTCCAACTTCTCCGTGGTTGCGTAGGAAATGAAGCCCTGTGTGCCGTTTGCCTATGACTTACAAATTGTTCCGTCTGTGTGTTGCAGATCCGGTTTTCTACGGCCACGACACGAGTGGTGGGGGCATCGGTGTGGGGAGCGAGTCGCTCAACTGACAGGAACTTCTCTCACACCCCGCGCCTGCAGGCCCCTCTTGGCCCCCACTTTACCCCGCCTCACCTACTGTGCCCTTGTCGCATAGGTGATACATTTCTATAAACGCAGAAACGACTGTTTAGTGTGAGAAAATGGACGAAGTATGTTTACTTGGAAAACTTTTAAAATTCAAACACAATTCTGGACCTTCATGAAATAAATGTGACCGAATAATTTCACTTTTAAATTTGCTGACAGTTAAATTTCAGATTTTCGGGTTGCTCTGAACCATCAAATTTCTCAACCATAGTGTTGTTTTCTATTCAAATCAGTTATTGTCTTATTCACACTTCCATGGGATTGGTATCCGAAAGTTTTATTCTTTTGGGTTTTGATGTAGTGAATAATGATATACTCACGATAAATCGTGCCGAAATAACAGTATACGATGTAACTATGATCTCTAAAATATTATAGTTAATACGCGCCAGATTCAGGCACAGTTTTGCTCTCTGGGCTAAAGTCTTGGAAAACTTCGTATTTTGATAGGGTATTCCTTTTATTGTAGAACTCAGTACTCGAGTAAATTATAACAATATTTACCAAAAATATGTTCTAAATAAATATGTGCGGTGCGGCTTTTAGCCAGCCAAAAATGTGTTAATCCAAGTGAATCAAAACTTTGAGATGTAAAATTTGTTTGGTCATAAACGATCTGTTCCGAACAGGGCTGTGTTAATTCGTGAAAAAGGGGTGATTGTGTAGGCAAACCGGGGACAGATTTTTATTTGTACATTCAGTACCTGCTCTAGAGATTATTGTTCTGCTCTTTCCATAGCGATAAGGGCTATGAATACTTCATATTGTGATGAGTGAAAGTGCATTGTTGAATAAACATTTACGGTGCCGGAGGCTTAGAAAGAGACCCCCAAACCTTTGAAATGTATTAATCTGATATGGCCTAAATGTCTTACGGAAAACTTTTAAGAAATTCTTGGTTGCTGCATGTGAGTGCTTTCTAGTTAATAAAAATATAGTAAACCACGACATTGTATACGATCGGTTGCATGTATACGCAAGTGGCTCCTTGTTTTGCCATGGGCCAATCTCGAGACTTCCAGAAAAGTATACGATTATCTTGAATTATGACATTATTCTGTATTTTGTGTGGTGATTCGCGACTGAGTCACGTCTAGTCCTTTTTGATCTGTTATTTGTTTGGACGGCATATACCGAATGAATTGTATAGAGAATTTTCTTCGATAATCTTCAGCTCACTCTGTTGCCTGTTCTCTGAAAGACCAAATTCATTATCGTGCGCTGTATGATTTTTGCTGTTAATGCTGTTTACTTGATATAAATTGCTTGTAACCGTTCAAACATTTGGAATGTTGTCTTTTCGGCCGACTGAACGTAATGGGTATGGTATATATGTTATGTGCTGTTGTCCGCCTGTGTTAAAGATTTGTACATACCTGTGGTTGTTGCGCAATCACCTTCTGTAGATATAATTTAACAATTTATGTAGATACATTTAAGTTCTCCGTAGGTATTGGTTACCATTTTTCATACGTTACTCTGAAGCGAATAGTCATTCGAGAAGAGGCTTAAGAAAGCATTTATGCCATCAGTCCTAGGTATTTTTTATCTTAAGGATACTTGCGTTGTTATTTGATTTTTTTCAGTGGCCAAAAATGTCTAGAAAAATATATTATTGTACAATAAACAATGTACATAGAAGGATTACATAGCATTTCTCTATTTTTACCCCATTCTCAGTTTTCTTTTTGTTTAACGGTGGTGGTGGTGGGAAGAAAGGTGTGTGTGTGTAGGGGGAGGGGGGATGTTGCGCACACTTCTCGAGTCACCGTTTTAAGTATCGCTTTATTGACGTAAAGCACAGTTGGTGCACGCCAGTTACCAGCGTGTGAGACATTCGGGATTTAGTTACTCTCCCGGTGTGCGTGGACATGCACTCGGAAGATCACGTTCGAAACTGTCTAGACTGCACGTCACGAGCAAGTGCCGACGAATGCCACTTCGCTCGCAGCTCGTCGCGGACGCAGCCTCTGGGTCGCGGGACAGAGCGCGCCTGTGTTCTTCCTCGCCTGAGTTTGTGGCACAGGTACGCTAAACACACCCATGCACGGTCGGCGGCTTCCAACGGAGACGCGTCTGAAAACGTGCTTCGTTTCTTTTTTCGTGTCATACTTTTGTACGAAATAAGAAGGCATTATTTTTCGTCTGCCTGTAAAAGGAAACTGAAACCTTGGCTACCGAATTGTTTTTTTTTAACCCGAACTGGCCATCGTGCCGCATTAAAGGCGCAGAACTTGCAGCAGAGCCCTGGTTGGGTTCCACAGTTTTATTTCCCTCGGTGGATAAGCGATCATGTGGAAAGTACGTCTGTCATGCCCCGTAACGAAATTACCTAGTAATGTGCTGCCTAGCTGATGCAAGCTGCTCTCCTAGCGCCTTGTAGGTAGGCAAATTCTTGCCTTCAGTGCACGCGTGCGCTGCGGGGTAGCCTACTCTGAGTTTCACAGGCGCGGAGCCAGAGCTCCTGCACTTTTCCGAATTAATTTGAGAAAAACGCATGATTCTCTGAACGATCCCTAACGAAACTTTTGACCACACGGTGATACAAAGCGAACCGGGCAACCAGAAAAATACCTACGTCACTGATAAACTAAGTGTTCAACTTCTTAACACTTGTAAGTGTGCAACCGCAAGTTCAATACCTGCAAGCGTTCAATTCAGTAGTAGTACATTTTGCAAGTGTTAAACTCAGTTGCAAGTGTTATACTCAGTATTTGTGCGCTTGTAAGTGTTAACTCTCCTGTTGTACACTTCCCTAGATCGGGCGCTTTCTGAAAGTGAAGAAGTGTTCAACAGAGGAGTTTGCACACTTAAAAGTGCACAAATACCGAGTTGAACACTTGCAAGTGTACAACTACTGAATTGAACACTTGCAGGTATTGAACTCGCGGTTGCACTCTTACAAGTGTTGAGCAGTTGGTTTATCGGTTTATCAGTGTATGTCAGCCAGTGGCGCTTGCAAGGTTTGCTTGAACGTACTTGACCTAAATATGGTTTAGAGGATAGAAGTACGGCACATCTAAAAAATACAAAAAAAAAAAAACACTAACTTTTACCTTAAACTCATGTAAGTTTTATTACAATCCCTCCCCCCCCCCCCCCCCCAAAAAAAAATCCCCCAGTGGACTGCTGCTTTCCCCCCAGTCCCGTTGTATCTTCCCCTTCTTCCCCTTGTTTCCGCTTCCCATTCTCTATCCAGTCGCGTTCAAATCCTGCTACGCGACGCGTCCGCAGAAAGGCTCTTGTCTGCCATATTTTCTACGTTAAACCGGAGGGCAAAAAAAAAAAAAATACGATCCGGCGCGGGCTCGGCGCTTGGTTTCGAACGCAGTCCGTGTAACGTACGACCCGCACGAGCGTCGCATCCCTGCGAAAGCCCTAGACCAGAGGGCACGCGCGGAGTCAACGACAAACCGAGTAATTGCGTGATTCACTGCCGAGAAAAGTTCGACCGACAGAAAGGGGCGGGATAGAGG